TGTTAGAGGAATACAAAGGACAGGACTTCACACTGGAACAGGTTGCCTAGGGACGTGGTGGCTGCTCCAATCCTGGCAGTGTTCAAGGCCAGGCTGGATGAGACCTTGAGCAACCTGATCTAGTGAGGAGGTGTCCCTGCCCAGGGCAGGGGGGGGCTGGGACTAGATGATCTGTAAGGTCCATTCCAACTCTTAAATTCTGTGATTCTGTGACTTGTTGAACTTTTATCAAGCGTCAGAGAAACACAAAGCTGGCTGGGTAGCAGCTTTCATTTTGGCTAACTATGTAATTCATTTGACTCAGAACAGAACATACTGATGATGATTCTGTATTTAATCTGAAACACGACAGTATAAATCTGAAGTGAAGCATATTTTTCCTTTTTTATCAAGGTAACAGGAGAAATTTTTCAGGAGCATTTATCAAACATTACTAGCATGTTCTGACAAAGGCACTGCCCAGCTATTTATCTGCTGTTGACAGCAACTGTACCAACTACAGTATTTTCTTTTCACCATTTCAGAGTTGGTTCTTACAAGAGTATTTGAAACAAACAGCAAAGTAAGTTTTTACATTTACAAACTCATTATGTAAAAAAAGCCACCCAGGCTTCCTACATAAGTAACTTTCCTTAGGAAAGGCATTTGTGCTTACCCTTCAATCTGTGCTAGATTTGATCAGGTTTTGCACACAAGTGATTGCCATTTTTTCAGTAACAATTATTTAGTACAGAAGCTGTCTTTTCCTACGAGCTTTACTAGCATGACAGCCAATACCACTTCCTTTTTCCTTAAGATTTGCCAGAGAAACAGGAGTCAACTCTTCCACACAGGCTGGAAACAGTTGCTCACGTATCTACTTCAAACGTAATTTTAACAGGACAGGCTTCAGTCATGAAACAGCTGACATACAGCTTTAAACCATTCTGGGGATGCCTGAGGTGAGCAATCAATCCAAGGACCTCTGCAGAGATCAACTCCCAGTCCAAGACTATACTCAGTGTAATTGCTTATTCTGCATGTTTAACACAACTGATTAAATGTCTATAGTGACATTTATTACTGCAATTCAGATTTTTAAGGTATGCTCTTATGAAAATTCACAGACTAGGCACTGTCTCCAATATGATTTAAAGTGCATTTGTGAACACATTTTATGTTCAGCTGGACCAGTTCTTGCAGATGAGTAGTCTCTCTGCCATCCCTAACTTACAGCTTACAAAAGCCTGTTTAGATCTCCTCTTCCAAAATCCAAACAGATGTCAAAAATATTATTTAGCCACTGAAGAACATCCATCCAAACCTACAAACACTATCACCAAAAATCTTCCTTCCAGCTCTTCCACTGCTGTTATTTACCTGTTATATTGGTACAGGCACCACTCATCTCTGCCATCAATGCAGATGAACCAGCATTACTCCAGTGGTATCTTCTAGAAGTTATCACCCTGCAACTAAAAGATAAAACAAATTGAGAAAAATACATTTTACAGCACAAGTCAAAACTTCTAGTGCTTCCCCCCCCATTTCAACAAAATGACACGAGCTTGGGTTTGCAGATTATTCTGTTGCAAGTTTTACTATTTCTTTAAGTGGTGGAGGATTCACTGGCTTGGAATGGACGGGAATGGCTTAGAGATAGGTTGCATGGCTTATGGATTCTCATTCCTTTTCAATGGTGCACTGCCATGTTAAATCCATAAGTTGAATGACAAAATTTACTGAGGACTAAACAGTAGCACAAAGGTTTTGGGTTTGTGTTTTTTTGGTTTTTAGTTGGAGGTCTTCATGTCTACTAGATTCAAGAGCATCTTTTGAACTTCATGGCTTTACCTGAGCCATAACAACTTGCCACAGGTTCTGCCACATGTACTAGTTATCCCTGTACCGCAGTGTCAAACTAAACCGAGTCAGGCATCCAACTAAACGTCAAGTTTGCAATGGCTTGCTTCAAACTCCCAATAGTCGAGCTGATATTTGTCAATCTAAACCAATTCCTGATTTCACAAGGCTTAATTTTGTTAAAGTACAGTATATGCAGCCTCTTTAAGCATCTTCTCTGAAAGATACTGGGCACATAACACCCCCTCCCAACCCTACGCGGCAACATTCTGCCTACAGCGAGCTGCATTACATCCTTAGTTTCAAAATTGGTGCCATAAATGCTTTTATCCAAGAAGAAATGTTGAATTTGGAGAATTTCTAATGCATTGGAGTATTTCTTTTCATTTTTTTTTTTTAAATCTAGACAGCACTTCCATTGCCATGACGTGCAGCTTGTCTTACTGTACTAGAGGAAGGTAACTTGGTTCAAATTTTGACTTAGACTGAAAAACTAGTTTGCTTTGCTTACCATCTTTGCTGTTTCACAGGCATTTGATGCTTTAAATCAGCTGTGGAATGCTGAAAGATTCACTTGTTTTTAGGAAGCCATAAGCCTTTGAGAAGTTGGAGAGAAAGACTTCTTTGCTTATCTTATTTTCTCCTTTGGAATCAAAGATGTTCCTTTAAAAGTGAAACACTACAGAGTTGCAAAAATTTGAAACAGTATGAGTAAGCATCGTTTTGCAGCTTCTTTGATGGAACTGGTCAATGGTTTTTGGTTTGTTTTTTTTTTTACAGTATGCTGTAGCTGACTTACACGTAACATGATTTAGTCGGAGGGGAGATCTGCTTAAACTCCCCATGCAACAGTAGGAAGGCAGAAAATAGTATTATCCACTTGCTCTTTCGGGTTAAGTGAATGAAATCCTCTATTTTTCTTTACACAAGGATCTGAAGGCATTTTTGTACTGGGAACACTGTGACTTCAAATTCTAGGCACAACTGAGCTTTATGTGGAATTATCCCCACCACCCTCCAAATCACAAGCAATACTTTGAGAATGAGATGCTGAACATGTAGAACAATCCATCTCCATGTTAGATGGTTGGATGTTGTGTGGAAGATCTTAAGAACGGCTTGTTCCATTCACGAGGAAAATCAGATGGGAAGTGTGGCATTTCAGGGAAACTTTACTTTGAAAATTACAACACTAGTACACAGCTCAAGTTTTATACATTTAACATCTGCTTTTTGAAAAGAAATGTTAACAATTTTGAAATGAAATTAAACATTGGTTTAACTTTTCCTCACAAAAGCATCAAAGTCATGGAGGGGGAAAACTTAACAGGCAACAATAAAAAAAGGTAAAAACAACTTTTCCTTTTAGTAGTCCTCTGGTAGTAAAGATAGAACAACTTCCACACTTCATCATTTTGAGAAGTAATCTGTCTTGGTCCAAAAGTTTAAGTGTGTTTTTAGTATCTGCTTCTGCCTCCACCTCTATCGGATCTGCTTCCGCCACGGCCACCACCTCTGGGTGCTCCGCGGCTTGAACTACTGTAAGAATCCCGAGGAGGTGGATAGCCCCTTTCCATGGACGGGGGCAGACCCCTGTCTTGTCTTCCGACACGATCACGGCCACTTGAGTAGACATCACTTCTGCTGCTTGAGTAACTTTCTCGGCTTCCATATCCATCTCGTGTGCTGCCGTAATCATCATACCGACTGCTTCCACCATAAGATGGAGGGGGCCCTCGTGCAGGTGGAGCACTACGTGAGTTACCTGCAGGGTCAATGGTCAGGTAATATGGCAACACCATAAGTTATATATAACAATTTCAATCTGAATTTACAGAATTGCTGTATTTAAATGTTTACTGCTACTCTTTCGTATGTATCGAGATGTTCTCTTACTATAATCTGCCACATTAATGGTACTTAAAGTGGGGGTTGCATATCAGGCAGTGAGTGGATATAAGACTCTGATGGAATGCAGACGGTGTTTGTTTATTCAGGCAGGCTCTTTACTGGGGATTCCAGAACAGCTTGTTATTTTAGAGAAGGAACTCAGCCATATTTTCCAGAGACAGTTGTAATTCTGAACTGTAGACTTTGCTTCTTTAGCTTAGAGCTTATTTAACAAGATGATCAAATGATAACCAACAACTGCACTTTCACTGTAGGGGAAAAAAAAAGTGTGCCACTTCCCCCTAAAGCACAAGCAACCTAGTAAAAGTCAGATTTAATGACACCTGTAAAATTACGTGATCCTCAAAATGGATTCTTACCATAACTCTCATACGAATCTCTGTAGGAGCCTCCACTTGGATGATCGGAGTAGTCTCGGTCACGTCCACCACCATATCCATCACGATCGCTATAGGAGGAAAGACTACTAAGACTTAGTACAAACCAGTAACATCACAGCAAGAATCAAATGACAGGCAGAAAAATCCAACAGTAGATACCTATAGCCCCGGGAGGGGTACTCGTCACGGGAGCTGGAATGACCATAGTCACGATAGGCGTAGTCTCGTGGAGGTGGCGCATAGTCCCGTGTATCCCTGGAGCTGGGATAGTCTCTGCTTGAGTAACTACGAAGAGCAAGAACTGAGGTGTTAGCTGTGTCATGCCACAGAAGGTAAGGAATCAAAATCCTTCTCTGAATAAAAACAAGCTCCCCACCAATTAAACGAGTAAAGGAACACACCCGTCTTTAGTGCTGTAGCCATCATCTCTTGGAGACATGTAGACATCTCTTCGCGATGGCATTGGCTCTCTGCGTGGAGGACCACCGTAACTGTCTCTTCCACGTGACACAGGAGCTTAAGAGAAACAGGCCAAATTTTTAAACTCCATGAGCATTTAGCGATACAGAAGACAAGGTATGTATTAGCAGATTGTTTAGAGCAATTTATAAGTACCTCTGAACACTTCATTTAACTAGAACTGTTTCTGCTTGTACAGTTATAAAGCAACACTAGAAGGAACATACATAAACCACACCAAATTGTTCCCAACAGCTACTAAGTTACATTGGTATTAAAGAAAACAAAAATTAGAAAAACAATACACTATCCCACAGCAGATTTAAGTTAGAATCAGTGACTTCGATCAGTTCCTGAAGGAAGACTAAGGTGCTAGAGGTGACCAAGCAACTAAGTCAGGAAGTCCTTACCTCTTCCTCCCATACTACTGCTACGCACTGGTCCTGAAGGCGCAGATCTTTTAGGTGGAGGACCCCCACTGCGTGGAGGTGGACCTCTCTTCATGGGAAGTGGCCCTCGGGAAGACCCTAGAAGGATAAGCCATGGACCAACTTGTTATTTCTGTGATACTCACCTGCATGACCCTAAAGCCTGAACTACAATAACCTAAGTGCCATTATTACCACTATGTGACCAAAGCAACCTCTAAAATTAGACCTCAAAGCCTTCTCTTGTCTTTTAGCCGCTACTAAATGCTACTGGCAGAATTGAGAGCCCAACTTTCCAAAGCTTCAAGTGCTGTCAAGAACTGTCTTTTAGAACTTATCCAAAAGCCACAGGTGTGACACAAGGGAAAAAGACAGCTGATATCTGTAATCAGTCACAGCTTAAATGTTCAACAAGTTACTGTTCTCAGAAGACAAGAGCCACCTGGGAAGATGTACTAGAGAAGAGCCTACAGAGAGGGAACAGAGGCACTACTGAGTCTGTAAAACCTACTACACAGACTCTTCAAGACAGAAGCTTCACTATTTCCAGGTTTTTTTTCTGCATTACAGCTTTCACTGGTATACCTCAGGTGCTGCTTGCATTTACTTTTAAGTGAGAGTTTTGTTTTGATACTGAAAAGTCTGAATAACTAGCTGTATCTTAAGGAATATCCAGTATCAAGTAATGTGCTATCCTTCCACTTCAGAAAGCTTCAATTCAACACACTATTTTATAACACCAAACAAGGCTCAGCTGCCCTAACTCCCACTATGATCTGGAAGGATCAGCCCTGGAGTTTTATGTGTTTAGACCTCTTGCTAGTAAGAATGAAAGGCAGCTCCCTTTCCCTGGTGGAAGAGGATAATTTTCAACTTGAATACCAGAAAGCTTCCTTTCTCACGTGCAAGGCAGGAGTTTTGCTTTTCTTTCACAGGCAAAAGTGGAGTGTTAGTTGTAGAAAGGAATCTTCATATTTGAAAGCCTTTTCTTAAGGCGTACTTGCCTAATCAAACATTTGACTAAACTGCCGAGACTGTATTTCATCATTTTAACACAGAACAAGGAGTGCACTATTTGGGTGTTTGGCTTTTTTTTTCCAGTAGGATTATTGTCATCTTCCAAAGGGATTGTCTTGTTTGTTGTCGAAGTATATAATGAGAGAGGTCAATACATACCCAAGTGACTCCCTCTTGAAGGTGGTCCTCGCGCGCCACTTCCGCCTCTTGCGCCTCTAAGGCCCCTGGGAGGACCTCTGCTTCGGGGAGGGGGTGGTGGCCCACGCCTACCACCACTTTCAAAGGATGGCTTGGTTGCTTGTTCCACTTTAATTGCTTTCCCATCTAATGACTAAAGAAGAAGCTGCTTTACTTACTGCTCACTCATGTTTGTATTGCTTAAATCAAGCCCCTCTTGCTTCACTATTACGGGGCTTCCATTTTTATAAAGTTAGAGCAACTCTAGAACTGATTTCAGTCTTCAGTATTAGTCCCCATGTACTCAGCAGCATGTTGGGCCTAATTTCAATTTCTATAGTACTTCATTCTTGTGGTATTGATGAAAAAAAATACAGAGCAGCATCAGAAAGGACTTTCAGTGAAAACACAAGTGTCCAATGATTACGGCAGCCCCATGTCATTTAGTCTGCAAATGAAACATGATATATCATCTACAATTTACTTCCAATTGCCATGTACTTTTGTGCCAAACTAGGACTGCACCAGGAGTTACAGGATTAAGCTGAAGGTAACTTAGCTTCAGTTGGGATTTCTGGCAATGGGGAGGCCGTTTAGTACATTTTCTCGATGTCCTGATACAACGGTGGTCGCTGAGGTATTTAGAGGTAATTTCAGCATCTACACAGCAGACTGAGTATGACAATTCACCCCTTTTTTTCTAGTGTTTCAAGAGAGGAGGTGCTTTTTGTTGGGGTACTTTTATTTGTTTGTGGGTTCTGTTGTGTGGTTGTAGTTTTGGTTTTTTTGTAGGAAACTAGTGGAAGCTCTTTTCCAGAATACAGACCTGCAGTAACAGAACTCTGCAGCCAACTACTATAGCTCAAATATGAGCAGGTGGTAAGACATGTTGAGTAACTCAACCTAATTAATCAGATTTCTGTATAATCTTTCAGACACCACAAGTTTGGCAGTTGTAGCAGAACCAAGATCACAAGCTCTGCTGAAGACAGGTTACTGCACACCTATCCTGGCAAACATGGTTTATTTGCCTTTTCTAGCAGTTAAATATTAAACTCTGCCATGACAACAAGTTAATTATCAGGCAGGAAGTGTTGTTTATTACACTTCTTTGCTGCAATAAATGAACACAAACATGACTGCTAGTAATGCCTTAATCTCAACTGCTGATAGCATGTTATTGAAGTGCTGAATCTTTTTTGTTCTCTGCCGAAATCTAACCCTCCCTGGAATCAGCCACTTCATGCAGCTACAGTATGGAAAACCTATGTGCATATACACAGGTTCAACCTGATCCATTGTGATGGAAAATAAATAAGAAATACTAGCAAAATATACCGGGTTTGGCTTTGACTCAATAATAGCATTTTACTTACAGAAGGTTCCTCAAAAAGCCTTTTGGCATGACAAGCTGAACCATTCCAGGAGGGAGCATTAATACCTCTAATCACTGGAAGTTCTCAGCTTGCATCAGAGAACTCTGCCATCAGCATTCATCTCTCAGTCTCATCCTTCTCAAAACAGCAACAGTGGGCTTGAAGCCTTAAGCTTTGCCATCATGACCACTGCTATCCTCAATTTCATGGCAGATTCTTGACAGCTTGTTACAAGTTTAGAAACCAAACACCATCCCCTTCTGCTAGCATGGGTTGTGAAAACCTGGATGCTAGGTTCAAGTTCTTTCATTGGTTTTCTATGTAGGAGGTATAGTTTTCCTTACCATTTCTCCTCCTATTTTCTTCTGCCTTGCCCTTAGGCACCTTATCTAGGCAAAAGAGAGGTTTCTTTTCAGACTGCTTTACACAAACAGTCTTTAACAGCTACGCCTCAGGTCCAGAAAGACCTTTCATTAGGAGCAAGGATAGGTTTTTTGTGTGAACCAGAACATATTTGTCAAAGTTGGTCCTATTTTAAAGCAGAAGGGACAACATTTTATACCTTCTGAGCTCGGAGAGGAAAGGTCTTACCTCACCAAACAGGTAAAACTCACACAAGCCATCTCAGAATAAGGATTTTTTTTCCAATGAGCTCAAAGCACAGGCTGTCAACACGAACACTCATCAGTTTGTGTTTAGAACCTTGATTCAGAGTGTTACAATAGCATTTTAGTATGATATCAGCACCAGAAAGTGGAATCACCTTGGTGCCAAAAAGCAAGAAAATAATTTAAGTTACAAGTAATTTAAGGACAATAACAGATTGGCAATCAGTCTCCTATATGTGGAATGAACAATCTGTACAGCTTTAAGGTGAGCCAGGGAACCTTAACCAAACACTTAGACAATTGTCCTGTAAACTGTCCCACATTCCAACAGAAAAGATGAATGAAAATGGGGCAGGAATCAAGTATTTTGAAGAAACTGTTGCAGGAACTTGCACGAAATTGGACCTAACACCACACAAGGTTTTCCTCTCCAATGGATTTTACTGTTGATGCTGCAGTGATTCCATTTCTGCATTTTCCTTCATGGCACATCGACTGGATTTCCTTTCACCATCTACATTCAAGAACTGAAGATTATTTCTCATCAGGCCAGGTTTCTACATATTGTATCACTTCTTCACCAGAAGAGCAGGGAACACTTTCTGTCGATGAGAGGAACCTTCCATAGGGCTGAGTACAGTTTGCTGTTTGGATTGCAGCATTTGCTTCCATCCTCTGTACACAAACCAGCTGCCTTGGCAGGTCTACACTGAAATTTAATCTTTGGCTTGTCCTGGATCTTTCCCCTAAGGTCATATCCTCTCTTTAATTATCCATTTCATCCTATGCACTTGAAAACAGAAGATCATCAGAACAGGCTACTGCGCCGAATGACCACTAGACTTGGGAGTATCTACAGTGCATTTCATGACATCAGGATGTAACTTGACTGCCACAAATCAAGGTGGTTCTTATTTCTTCTGTGCTGCTCAGACATGCTAACACTGATCCAATTCCGTAGACAAAGTAATTGAAGTGGAAAATCTCCATCCCAACTCCGGAGCAATTATCTCCTGATCTCTTTCTGCAGGACTGAAATTAATCTTCAACAAGCAAGCTTTGACTAGCCTGTGCTTGTCCCAATTTAGAATGAAACACAGTTAACCTCCTTCCTTCCCCCACCCAGGCAGGTGTACAACACTGAATATGCAATTTTCATCAACACTTGCAAAGTAAAAAATCAAATGCAAATTCACTCTTGCAGAATCTATACTTCAACCTCTTCAGATTCCTTTGGGATGACAGAATGAGCGACACATCAGCCATGTGGAACTCTTTGCCCTGGCTAGACAGGTCACCCAGCTCCTTACAGACTGTTTGAACTGCAGTTTGCACAGTGCTTCTGCTGCTCCTGCCAATGTGCCTGAAATTCTCAAGAGTGCTCCAGTCTGTCCTCTCCACATTGACACAAAAACCTCCAAGCTGTGATTTATGGCAATGATCTCCTCCCACAGCAGGCCTCAAACACTGCTCTTCCTCAGACCTTGAATGCAGAGAGGCACAAGCAGTACCTGTTGTCCAGAAGCATTTCTGGAGATGACTGTGAGAGCCACCTTCAAATCCCTGGTCAAAGCACACTAGACCAGTGTTCATTCCAGGCCAAAACCCAAGTGAGGATGTTCTTTTCATACACTATTTGCTGTTCAAATTTCAGAGCAGATCAAGGTACTTCTAGATTTACAGGGTTGAGGACACAAACTGTGAGAATGATGATCCACAGGGCAGTTCTTTGCAGCATTTCTTGACAGTGGTCCAGATAGAGCATTCCAGAACAAGCAGACATTACCTCAGCCACAAACATTCTCTCATTTTGCTACTTTGTGAAGCATTACTTTCCCAAACGGTTCCAATGTGACCAAACACATGCCATAACACTGCAGCTGTAGAACAGCTGGTGATTATCTTCGGAGAGATTTTCATTTGCAAGCTGCACTCCACAAACACTCAGGATTAGTGACTGAATTCCTTTCAGTCTGACAATTAGCTATTGCTGTTTGAAGTTACCTTACTGAGGGTTCAGGATAATGACTACTTCAGAGGAAAACAGTGTTTAAGCACAGCAGTAAACAAGTCTTCAGAGCTGTGGCAAACTACACAATAGAGAAATAAACTCAACAAAAGGAGCCCCTTTAAAGATGTTTAGGCTGGTATAGAAAGGACATTATCTAAATTTGCCACTCTAGGCCTTGACAAGTACTACTAACTTACTTAAAAGGGAAGCAAGTCTTCAAAGAAAGTAACACTAATTGTCACAAGGTTGACCTGAAGCCTCCAGAAACACCAGTAGAGAGCAGAAAGCCTGCTCTGACACAAAGCCAACACACACCAAGTTGTACTGTTTGTGTTCACTATGAACACCACAAGCTCATTTTCTTATTCCCAAAGTTGCTTTACTTACTGACTGCAATGACTGACGTGTTTCTTTCACTTCGATGACTTATGCTAACAAGACAAACAGACATCAAAATCCCAAGTGTTAATTAATCAGAGCCAGTAGAGGCTTCTTCACCTCACAGGAATGGCATCTCCAGAGACACTGCTCACAAGGCCAGTGCAGTGTAACCTCACACAACCACTCAGACTATGAATGTCAGACCTGAGCCTGAAATTCAGGAGAACTAACATGGCTTTCACTGCCTGGAGACAGCACCTCTATGCAAGTAAGTTGCCAACTTACATCTACGTTTTCACACATACCACAACAGACAGACTACAGCAGCCTACAATCCTTTGACAAATGATCCTGGCATTGACCTCAGAACTTCTGCTCCAAATTCCTGATTTTCTTTTTAAAAACATTACATATACATTATGTTTTTTATTTCCTCTTTAAGTCATATCATTGCATTTGAGGGTGTAAAACCAAACAAATTCAGCCTTTGGCTAACCACAAAGCTAATTCACATTAACTGGCAAAGACACCCCTCACACATGCCAAACAGATTGATGATGCAACTCACAAATGTAGGAGGTTATCCACAAACACCAGATAGCTCATCAATGCTCCAGCACAGCAGGGAAGTCACAGTCAACCCATGTTAAGGGAACTATTAATAGTTTTCAGGTAAGTCAGTCACTTCCCTAAAGTGTAAGTTTACACAGTACTGCATTCAAGTGTGATTAAAAGAAACAAAACCCCAAACCAAAACACATCACAGAGACATGCAAGAATGAAGAGCTGACTACTAAAATCCCTCTGTCACTGACTAAAAGAACAGTGAAATAAGAGTGTAACTGACTGACAGCCAGACGTCACCTTCTACTGTCAGATCCATGAACAGGAGAAAGTGATTCCAGTTTCATGGAGACAGAGACATGTTGCCAAATTTAAAGTTATGACTCGTCTCCAGGGCCTTGTAATCCATTGTCTTTCCAACTTTTATTACAAGATAATCCACCCCAAAGATTAATCCTGCAGGTCAGTAGCAACAGCAACATCTAACGGGTCTGAACTCCTACCTTTCCATTCATATCTCTGGCAGCATCTTTTGCATCCGCTGGACTCTCGAACGTGACGAACGCAAATCCTCTGGACTTGTTGGTTTCCCGATCTTTCATCAAAAGAACTGCAGAAACAAAGCCATGTTACCCTTTCCTGTCATCAGGCAGGCAACACTCAACCTCTAATTAACCTTTTAAGCTCAGAACTTCTTAGAGGACATACCAGCGCCATCATTTCAGATGATCAACGCTACAAAGAGTCATCACAGCTATGTTGTGGGTTTTTAATTATTTATTGTTATGCTCAAGAAGGCTTTTCTCTTTACCTTCCACAATACGTCCATATTTGCCAAACACAGCCTCGAGGGCTTTCTCATTAGTCTCTGTGTTCAGGCCCCCAATGAACAGCTTCCCAGGACGATCTGCTTCAACCATTTTGATGCCGTAAATCACCTATTGAAAAGAGTAAAGCTGCTGTTAACAAAACTCCAGGCTGCAACAGAGACTTCCACACCACTTCATGGAATATAAATGAGTTCCCAAAAGCACAAGCCAATTTTCTTGGACAAGATGGTAATTAAGAGATATAAAGAATGTTAACAAATAAGGGCTTCTTCGAACGGAAGCACCAGGAAATAGCATCGCCTTCAGTTATTTCTTCATATTGTATCACAGAACCATGATACTTTAGGGGTTGGAATGGACCTTACAGATCATCTAGTTTCAACCCCCTCTGCCCTGGGCGGGGACATGTTCCCACCAGACCAAGTTCCTCAAGGTCTCATCCAACCTGGCTTTGGACACTGCCAGGGCTGGGGCAGCCACAGCCTCCCTGGGCAACCTGTGGCACTGTCTTAACCACCCTCACAGGAAAAACTTTTTCCTAATATCTACCCTAAATTTCCCTCTTTCACTTTATCCCCATTGCCCCTTCTCTTTGCACTGCAGCTCCTAACACAGATACAAAATCAAGCAATGCTGGCAGAGCTGCAGGGTAGTGGTTGCTTTGGATGGTATTAGAGATCTCCTCCAACCTTGACGATTCTAGAGTGAAAACCCAGAGGTATTGTTCTTTTGTTTTCCCCGGAAGGCAATCCTAGCACCCCTTTCCTTTAAACCTCGTAGATGCTTCAAGAAATCTACTTAATATGTCGAAATAACACCAACTTATTAACTTTCAAAGGCATCTGGGGCTCATTCTTTGTGTTATCTGCAGCACATCGAGCCT